CCCCCCCCAGCCTTTCATCCCGGCCTTTCATCTCCAGTCGTCCTGGCAACACCCCAAAGGGTCCAAGGCTGTTGCCATGGCACCCAGGGATGCTCTGAACCCGAGCCAAGGACCCCGCAGCCCCCCCGGGGCTCTGTCCCAGCCTCAGCCCCTCAGCACCCCAGGGTTGCCCTGCGCCAAGGGGGTGGCAGTGCCGGGGGGTGGCAGTGCCAGGAGCAGAGGTGCCCACAGCTGTGCCATGGCCATTGGGGAGGTAAGACCCTGCCAACAGCCCCCCCACCCCAGAGCCACAGCCCTGGGTCCCTCCCTGCCGTGGGGGGTGGGTGAGTAGCCCCCTGACTCGTGGGGACCCCCCCAATCTGTCATCTCAGCACTCTCTCACACTGGCACGGGGGTCCCTGTGTGCCCCCCACTGTGGCTCCTGCCCCCACCTCCATCCCTGTAACCCCCTCTGAGCCCCCCCATCTCTCCTGGCCCGGTGCCCCCCATTGCCAGGACACTCCATCACCGTGGTGCCCAGGTGCTGAGGGTCCCATGCCCATGGTCCCCTGTCCCCAGGACACCCTGTGGCACCCCATGCCCAAAGGACCCTCCCTGAGGTACCCCCTCTCCACAGTACCCAGTCCCTGGAGGACCCCCCCGAGGGCCCCGATGCCCAAAGCCCCCCGTCCCCCTGTCCCCCAGTCCTGGCAGTGCCCGCGGGGTGACCCCCTGGCCCCCTGTGCCCCCAGGACCTGCGCAGCGGCTGCTTCTGGCGGGGGGTGCTGGCGGAGGCCGTGGGCACCTTCCTCTTTGTGGGGGTGGTCCTGGGGGCCTCGGCGGGCCCCGGCCCCCTGGCACCGGCGCTGGCCGGGGGGCTGGCGGCCGGGGGGCTGGTCTGCACCCTCGGGGGGCCGCAGGCCAACCCCGCGCTCACGCTGGCCCTGCTGTGCACCCGCAAGCTCGGGGCCCTGCGCGGGGTCCTGGCGGTCCTGGCCCAGTGCGCGGGGGCTTCGCTCGCCGCCGCCGCCGCCCGCGCGGCACTGCAGGATGGCACCGGCCTGGTCCCCAGGGTGAGTGTCCCCGGCCCCTGGTCCCCAGGGTGAGTGTCCCCGGCCCCGTACCCGTCCCGGGGCGCTCAGGACGGGGGCACAGGTGTCCCTCCCAAAGGTGGGGACGGCGGGGACGGCGCTGGCCTGGGAGACCTTCGCCACCTTCCAGCTGGCACTGGCCGCCTTCGCCACGGCTGAGCGCGCGACCCCGCAGGCCGGGCTGGCCCTGGGCAGCGCCGTGGCCGCCGGCGCCCTGGCCGCGGTAAGGACCCCCCCAGAGTGTCCCCCCGGCCACGGGGGTCCCCACCCTGCCAGCCCCTGACCTTCTGCCCCGCAGGGGCCGTTCTCGGGGGGCAGCATGAACCCCGCCCGCGCGCTGGGGCCGGCCCTCGTCACCGGGGTCTGGGACCACCACTGGGTGAGTTGGGGGCACCCCCGGGTCACCTCAGAGACCCCCGGGTGGGGGTGGGTCCCCCAGATGCAGAGTGGGACCCCCTGCAGTCCCATCCTTACCACAGGACAGGGTTCCCAGGTCTTCCCTTCCCTTGGGTGGGTCTCCCTGGGACGGGTCAACCTTGTCTCAGTCCCCGTCACTGGTGTGGGGTCCCTGGTCCCCCCATCCCTTGAGCAGCCCCTCCCCCTGTGCCCCCCCACTCCCTGGGGCCCCCCGACACTCTGTACCCCCCCAGGTGTACTGGCTGGGGCCGGTGCTGGGCGCGCTGCTGGCCGGGCTCTCCTACGAGTTCGTCCTGGCCCCCGGAGCCTCCCGGGAGAAGTTGGGTGCCTGCCTTGCCTGCCGGGACGTGGCGCTGGTGGAGACCCCCAGCCCATCCCCTTCCTCACCCTCTGCCCGTGGCCCCCCGGCCCCCCCAGCTGAGCAGGACCAGAGGACAGCCTGAGCCCCCTGGACCCCCCTCTCTGACCCACCCCACCAACCCTCGACACCCCGACACCGTTTCCTCGCAGAGCCCAGAACCTTCCGTGGGGGGCAGCCAGGGCAGGTTGTCCCCCTGGGCGGATGAGGGGTCCCTGCACGATGGCTCCAGCCCCCCCCCAACCTTTTACTGTCCCCTCTGCCCCCCGGCAGGATTAAAGGTGGTTGGGGGTTGGAGGCGGGTGCAGAGTGATGCTGTGAGGGGCGGGGGGTCCCGACCACCACCCTCGGACCACGAGGGCACCACGACGATGCCGGGGCTGCCGGTGGGTGGGTGCCCCCTCCCTGTGGCCCCCCAGCGAGGGCGGGGGCCGGGACCCCCCGTTGGCCCGTCCCGTGCCGGGGTGCTGAGCACAGCAAAGCCCTTTGTGGTGGCCTCTGCAGCCCCGGCAGATTCCGGCGGGCGCCAATGGCCGGGCCGAGCCCTAATCCCCCCGGCCGGGGACTCAGCGCCCGCTAAGCCGGGCTGAATAAACCCTCCCGAGACAACAGCGCCAGGGGGGGCGGCCCCCGCAGCCCCCAGCGGGGCCGAACCGGGGGGGGCCACCCAGGACCCCCCCTGTGGGTGGGGGAGGCTCCCAATGGGGTTGCCCCAAAGTGTCCCCAAAGCACTGGAGGGGGGTTGGAGGTGCCTCGGCACTGCCCCGAGCGTGGGGGTCCCCCAAACCACACAGAGGGCACCTGTGGGTCACGGCCCCCCCCATCCCAGGCAACCCCAGGGACGGGGGGCACAGCTCTGGGGGGGTCCCCGGTATCAGGGGGTGCCACAGGGCTGTCCCGGGGGGGCTCGTGGGGGGTTCCTTGCTGCGTGTCACCCGTCCCCTGCCCTGGGCAGCGAAGCGGTTAAAGGGGGGGTGGCAGAGGTGGGATCCCACCCCCGGGGCCGGCCCGGGGGGGCCTTATAAAGGTGGGCACGGGCGGCCCCCGGGGAGGGGAGCGGGGCCGTGGAGGGCAGCGGGGCCAGGCCATGCGGGAGCTGCGCTCGTCCTCCTTCTGGAGGGCCGTCCTGGCCGAGTTCCTGGGCAGCTTCCTCTATGCCCTGCTGGGGCTGGGGGCCTCCCTGCGCTGGGCCCCGGGCCCCCCCAGCGTCGTGGGGTCCGCCCTGGCCTTCGGGCTGGCCCAGGCCACCCTGGTGCAGGCGCTGGGCCATGTCAGCGGGGGCCACGTCAACCCGGCCATCACGCTGGCCTTCATGCTGGCCTCGCAGCTCTCCGTGGCCCGCACCGTGGGCTACCTGCTGGCCCAGGTGCTGGGCGCGCTGGCCGGGGCTGGGGTGCTCTACGGGGTGACCCCGGCCCCCGTCCGTGGCACCCTCGGCCTCAACGCGGTGAGCGGGGGCGCTGGGGGGTCGGGGGGGCTGGGGGTGTCTGCGGGGCTGGGGGACTGTAGGGTGGGGAGGGGGAGTGGGGTTCGGGTTTTACTGGGGGGTTGAGGGGTTCGGAGGTGTTTGGGGCGGTTAATGGGGGGCCGGAGGGTCCAGGAGGTGGTTTGGGGTCTGGGATACCGTGGGGCTATACTGGGGGGTTGAGGGGTTCAGATGTGTTGGGGCGGGGGGGCAGATTGGAGATTGGGGGGGGGCCAGGAGGTGTTTTGGGGTACCATGGGGCTGTGATGGGGAGTTGAGGTGTTCAGAGGTGACTGGGAGGTCCAAGAGGTGTTTTTGGTTTCGGGGTGGTGTGGCACAGTAATGG